ATCGGTGGGTAGGCTATCCCGCTGAACAGCGGAGTACGGTGGTGTGGCCTACCACCAGGCTCTAGCCTAGCGCCTGCAATCGGTCGGTAGGCTATACCGCCGCACAGAGGAGTACGGTGGTGTGGCCTATCACCAGGCGCTAGCGCCTGCAATCGGTCGGTAGGCTATTCCGCCGGACAGGGGGGTACGGCGGTGTGGCCCACCACCAGGCGCTAGCGCCTGCAATCGGTGGGTAGGCTATCCCGCTGGACAGCGGAGTACGGTGGTGTGGCCTACCACCAGGCTCTAGCGCCTGCAATCGGTCGGTAGGCTATCCCGCCGCACAGAGGAGTACGGTGGTGTGGCCTATCACCAGGCGCTAGCGCCTGCAATCGGTTGGTAGGCTATCCCGCAGGACAGGGGAGTACGGCGGTGTGGCCTATCACCAGGCGCTAGCACCAGGCCATCGCTCGACAGGCCACAAGGCCAGTATGTGCAACACTGCCAAACCACTGGTGGGCCAACATAACGACCTAAGTCCAAAAGAAAATAGTCGATTTTTTCGGTCTATTTTTATAAAATCTAGTTTTTGCCCCAAAATACCTTGGAACAATTTTTTGGGGATTTACGTCGTTATTTTAGCCCACCAGTGAAACAGGTTGCCAATTATAATGTACAATTAATCAGACTTGCGGTAGCGTTGATAGGAGGGGAGAGGGGTTGAAGGCGGAAATAATCTATGACAACTCTTATCTATCAGGGGCTACTAGTCATTCTTTTATGTCCATGATATTGCACCTTTAACGTTAAAGCGAAAAATGAATCGCCGAAAGTCTAAGGGACCAGGGAGACCTGAGTCAATACGCAAGGTCACGTAAACACGAAAACCACAATGAATTAAGTCAGCTAAGAGAATCTTGCGTTGCGACCCGTCGTCCTGTTATGGACAGGCAGACCCAAACTGCAAAGGGTCAGCGCATTCCATGCGCTCGGCGCCGCTGGATGCCTCGGCTCGGCCAAGCGGACAGTCGCGACGCAGCCTCCAGCCAGGGCACATCAGGATTAGGATAACTTATTATTGTTCGGTAATGTAATGAATTTGGCTATTCCCACCTTTTAGGTAACCTTTAGTATGTGCAGCAGATCAGACTGAGGGGTAGGGTAAAGGGTATTTGGCATTAACCCAATAAATAGTACTGAATCAATAACTAACTATGAAGTAACCAGTAACTCTCCCTAACATTTCATTACTAAAGCAGTCCGGATCTCACACAGTATCATGGAGGTTGGTGCTGTGCTGGGCCTCGTCCTCGTGGCCGCGGGGGGTTGAGGTTGAGGGTTGATGTCGTCCCGTGCCCCGCGTCCAGCCTGGCGCCACCCGGTCGACTGGCGGCCCCGGTCAGAAGGCGCCGCCGCGCCCCGCTCCCGCCCCACCTCACTCCCGTCGCCCCACGCCCCACCCCGGCACGCAGCACCAGCACACCCCCGCGCCCGCAGGCCGCGCACGAAAGCGCCCTTACAACCCATCAGTGACCCCCGACAGCTCCCGACCCGCTGATCTAGACGGAGCAGGCCTTTCATAATGCAGCGAAAGACCTGTTGATCGAGTGAACTGTCGTATTTAGAGATGAGGGACCGAGAGCGGGGCGTCGGGCGTCGTACAAAACAAACGACGTCTCACTTGGACGAGGGCCCATTTTTTTTTGACAGTTCCCTAAAGGCTGTCGCCTCCCCATCCTCACCCTCTATATAGCACAGAGCGGGACCTCGAGTATTTTTTCACACAGCTTGATTTGTAATCGTTGTAATACAAGCGTAATGAGAGAAATTTATTCCCGTCAGTGAGACTGTGTCGGAGAGTCTCTTTAAAGCGCCTGTCATCAGCGGGCGAGGTCTCCTGAACTAACAACGCTCCGCCTGCGGCCGGTGAATCCCCCGGGAGAAACGGGGAACTCTCCTCAGTCCGACGTCTGCCCGTCTGTGAGCGGCTCGCCGCCGCCGGCCCCGTACAGTAGGTGCTGGCCGAGGGTGGGCGTTGAGTCACTGGGACTGGGAATGCGGCGCGGTTTCCTGCCGAGATCCGCCCAAGTCTCGCGCTCGCATCGTGCGCGATTGTGCGGCAGGCCAGGCAGGCCCGGCCTGGGGTCGTGGCCGCCCCGCCCATATGACACACGCGCTCCTCTGAGCGTCGGGGAACCCCCTCGCCTCGCTGCAGAGGAGGCTGCGCCCCGCCGCCGGCCAGGGCGCGAGCTGCGACCTACGAGTCGCCGACTGGAGCCCGACGGCGCAGGACGCGCTCTGCAAACGGCAGCTTCCAGCTGCTGCGGGCGGCCCCTCAGCACGACGTCCAACAGACCACCTTCTGGCTTCTTCAGCAGGTAGCAGCGGCGTTAGCAGCAGCAGCAGCAGCGGAAACGAGGCTCGTGGAGAGACAGGCGTCGGACGGGCCGGATGAGCAGGATGAGCGCGGATAGTGAAGCCAGTCACCTG